TCTCTAACCGATCCCACCACAGACCGAAACCTCTCTCACGTAAACTCGAACATTAATTGCATCCACCGCAGAAAATTCACCCACAAACACCACATATAATTTAATAATCATATACTATACCAACACTTTACTCTACCAGATAAGTGTTTTTGCTCTATTAATTTTAAATTAAATGCAGTAAAAACAACATTACAATTAAATACGATCTATATATCTTATATAGTATTAACATATGAGTATAAATCCTTTTCTATTATTAATTTGAATATATTTTATATCGTTATATCTTTTTTATAATATATTATCTAATCAGAACAAGATAATTTAATAAGTCATGAAATGATTTTATTCAGATTCCATTTGTGATTTTTGTTTTTGTTACTTCATGTTTGTCAATGTGACACTAGCGTCATCAAGTACCGAAAAATGACGAAAATTGAACGGCTGTATATATTTTGTATAATTTTATCATGATCTATTATTATTGAGTAGATTATTATCAAGGTAGACAATTCTGGGAATTCGTGTAATTGAAATTTATAATAATTAAATTACATGTTTATGTAATGAAAATTTGTTATGTTTTGATATTTAATTAATGAATATTTAAATCAAATATTATTATTTAATCTATGAAGTAATATCGATTTTGGAATTACGCGGAGCGTGAGTACATGCATCAAAATACGGTAGGCTTTAATTAAGACACAATTGCTTGTCGAGGAAGTATTGTAATATGTCGATGCATGTGCAGATGTGTAGCTTACAATGATGTATTAGTAATCTATATACAAGATGAATTATGGACCTAGAATTGAGCTGCGTGATATTTCGATTTATTAAGTTTCCATGTATTTATCAAATGTTACTATAAAATTGTAAATCATGATTATATGAAAATATGTTAATACATTTTCAATGTCTCTGAAACAGCTTTAAAAAATATTTTATTAAAAATAAATTAGTTAATACCATACCTCTTACACATTGTAGGAAGTAACAACAACTTTGTACTAGTATATATTATGTTTCTAAAGAAGAACTCCGTGCAAATGAACTGCAAGAATGTCAATTGCTAGATCTCCATATTAATATAATGATTTACTTTTTTTCAACCACTATATTCAATGAGTTAGTATATTATTTTTTATTAAATCAAGCTTACTTAATTAAAACTTGTTTTCCTTCACATGTTCAGTCCATGAAATTTATAAAGTTTCATGAAAAATATATACAATGGCAATCTCCTGTTCTCGTATATTTTTAGAGAAAGGTCTTATTTTTGCTATAAATTATTAAAATTCATTTGAGCAACACGGATAACGTAACAAAGTAAGAAAGGAGAGAGTTTTAAATATTTAAATATGAATACATAAAACGACTAATCAACTTACCTCGATAAAAATTAAAAACTTTTTGAATGTTGTGCATAGGCCTAAATTACGGACGATATTTTTTTTAAAATAACTAATGAAGTAATTTATTTATACGTATCATTTATTTATACGTAGCTTTAAATTATTTCAAATAAAACTGGTTGAATTATTCAAAATATTATTTCGGATACTGGCGGAGACTGCAGTCTGTATGTGAAATCGTTGATATATAACTTCTAAATAGAGAATATTCGTTTAAATCTTACTACGTTCAATTTAGATTTAATTATTTAAACATTTGTATTGGCCCCAATTTGAATAAAACAACGATTATTATTATAGATGGAAAATATAATTAACATAATAATACCGAAATATTTCGCAATCAACATTTACTATAGTCCGGTTTGAAAATTTAACAATAATCTAAATTTTAAGTAAAGAAAATAAACTCTAAATATTTTTATTTACATAATTGATTGGTTTTTGCCTTTACACAGTCAAGTCTTTTTGTACAAATATATGTATTTAGTTTAATACAATTTCAAGCAGTCAGTGATATTGGAAGAGCCGATAAACCGGACTATGTGAGGTATACTGTATTACTATAGTAAAATTATATACATAAATAATAATAATTTTATTTTCATTAATTGTGGTTTATATGAAATTATTATATGAATTGTACAATGTATTGGTATAATAATTCAGTTGCATCATTTATTGAGCTGATAATTCTAAGAGTGTTTGCGTTCAAAGTGATGAGATCGAATGCAGGCGTTCGAGAGTGTGGCAGGCAATACGTGACTGCGATTTCTTGTTTGTTTGGGCGTTTGAATGGAATTAAAATTGTAGACGCGATGCAAGTGGGGCGGTTTGCGCCTAGAGATGGTTTTGTTGGGTGGGTGGCCGTTCGAGATGGGCGGATGGTATGGTCGGTCCTGGGGGGTTGGCTGGCCACGTAGTGAGGATGCGGCCGTAGGCGAAATAGCAGACAAACACGAAGCAGCGAGGGAACGGGATCACGTCTTTCAACTTACTGGCAAAGATGTGAGATATTTTAAAAATTCAGGTCCCCGAAGAATTATTAAACCCGGGCACCGACACCCTCGAGTCCTGAATTATTACCTTGCCTAGATTGTGGCCTCAGTTTACTTAACATCGCTGCCGCTTTATGATTTATATAACTGTATTAAACTTTGAAGAATATTTTAAAGGGTTATACATGACTTGGGCTGTATTTCTTTTATGTTTCACTGCACCTCTTCCAGAAGGATGTCTTCATGTCAATAGAAAGAAAAATGAATATAAATTAATAATATGTTTATAAAAAAATAAAAATTCCAAAGGTGTACACGATTTGTCATAACTATGTATCTAAAATTAATAAGAAGCAAATCTTATATCATACAGTTATCATATTATCAAATAATGTAATTTTAGTTTATTTAGTATGATTCCTCCGCAACTGTGTCTTTCTATAAAGATATGTATATTTATCCAAATATACTCATTAACTATGATTTATTCACTATGTTTCTTATCATTAACATTTCGTGATAATTATCAAAAACTTTAGTTTTATGTTTGTTTTTAACGCATTATATACAGTATGTAAGATAACTTATATATCTGAGCGCACTGAATTTTCTTAAATATATTCAAGAGAATTTAAATGTATGGTAATTTCTGAATATGTTTACCATTTGTAATAACTGGAATAATTTAACAAATGATAGATGGCATACAGCGCACTTTATATTTTCAGGTTGGAAACATTGTTAATATATCATCACACACTACAAAATTTTTTCATTTATTATTAGAATCTCTCGAATGTCGCTTTTCTGACATCTTAATTAAATTTTTACTGTTTAATTATTTTTTATGTTACTTTTTATTATGCTCATTCATATACTTGCAGAAAGTGCCACCTAATATATTTTTTTTAATGATATATTATGGTTTTGATGAAGTTATATAAGTAGTTTGTTTTAGAAAACTTTAAATATTTGTAATCAGTAAACATATTTTTTCACCAGTTTTATTAAGAATTAAACCCAAAGGGCTTATTCATTAGAAATAATGTCTATGAGTGACACTAATTTAGTACATGAAATTGTACTCAAGTATACAAAAGTATGAAACTTTGTTCGCCGAGAAAGTGTTTTGAAATTGGATTCGGGGTTGTGGTTCTATGTATTTGTGAGTTCGTTGGTCAACACCTTCGGGCAGTGTTTTACAATTTGCTAAGTTCCTGGATGACAACAAAATGGTACTCGGAGAGATAGAGAGGTGGAGATATAGAGTAGAAAGAGCTAGCTCGTAATTCCGGCGACTGCGAAATTCGTAACGAACTACCAGAAGCAGCGGCAGCAGCACCTATCCACTCAAACATTGCGCTGAGTCTGCTGCTCTCTTAGCCCACCCCATTTGCTCTATATTCGCCTCCGCCTTCTGCGGAGATAATAACTGAAGAGACTCGGGGATTATCTGCAGACTATCTCAACTATTCAACTAAACGGATAAAGTAATACGCATCGTGTTTGTGTGCCTTCCCCGGAGGAGACTAGAAGAGCAGACCGAGCAGCAAACATTAAGAACTATTCCTGCCGCATCCTTCGCGTACTCACGCCGCCCCCGCTTTTATCAACTTGTCTATTTCCCACTTTAATATTATGCCAACCCGCACAACACACATGCACGCATTTAATATACACCGAGACCACCCTTCCCCTCCTCCCCTTTTTCCTGAAAACTTGTAATAAATCTTCCTTTCATCATTAATATATTTCCAACCCCTGAAAGGAAAGTTTTATAAGCGTATTTATTTTTCAATTTTACGCTTTACCATTGATATTCCTGGTTACGAAACGAATAAAAGCATATGTAAATTCCATATAAAATATGAAGCAATCTTATCTATGTAAAGAACGTTGCCTGCCAACATTTAATATGGTAATCTATTTGAATCAAATTAAAACTACTTTCCAAAAGCACCGACCCTTTTTTTTTTGATAATGAAGCAAAAAACATATAAAAGATACCTTAAATACTGTTATTAACAATAAACATTTCTAAAAAGGAAGATCTTTTTAAAATACATGTTTAATTTACTAATTAAATTATTCATATATTAGGGTGGAAATTTGTGTATTTTTTTTATGAATGCAATAAATTATAGTTATTGTTATATTATTTGAAAAATATTTGATTGAATAGACTATAATGAAGAAACTAATATTACAATTTATAGTAATATGATTACGGTCATGTAATTATGGTAATATTATGCATATAATGATAATAATAATTAATTTCAATATGCGCTTTCGATTAACATTGTAATATATTGCAGTTGCACATAAGTTAATTGAAATATACCAGACATAGGCTATTATTACAAATAGTTGAAATTAATTATTACAGTTTCAATATTTCAATTAAGTTAGTAATTATGAAAGGTTATACATTTATTTGCAACGATTTACTTATTCAGTTGCGATCTGTCGCATGTTTTCAATATAAATCTTAATTTCTTAACTTTTTAGGTATGTATTGTAATTTGTAGAGAAAACATCTGTGGATGAGTTTTGTTAATAAAATAAATTATTTTATTTTTAGGATTCCGAAGGAGACACTCCTTTGCACGATGCTATTTCAAAGAAACGTGACGATATGCTGACGCTCCTGTTAGACCACAATGCTGACATCACGTTGACGAACAACAACGGTTTCAATGCTCTGCACCATGCGGCTCTGCGAGGAAACCCAAGGTGAGTGGCAATTCTCGTATCCTTCTTTTCTCTTTTCGACCATTGCGTTCGTTGCCGGCTCCATGCCGTTCTCTGCGGGGAGTCGCCTCGAGGAGCATCCTCTGCTCTCCGCACTTCGTACATCCCTGTTATTTTGGCGGGGTGCTGCGGCGCGGCGTCGCGATGATTTATCGCGTCGACTGTTTTTGAGTGTAAGAAATATGGTTAACGGCCGGAAGCGAAACCTACTTCCCGGGGACTATTATTACCGCAGACCCATATCTCTCTCTCTGTCTAGCTACCGCCTTCACACTCGAATATTCCCGCTTGCTGCACTCAAAACAGCAAGATGATGATATAAGTGGCCGATTCGGAATCTTTGTTATTTTACATACATTTTTATAGTTTCCAGCAACCTTTCGCGAACGATAAAGCAGACTGCAAAGTTTCGATAGCCTTACCAACTTATTATCAGAGATGCTAACATCTTATTTATTTATATAACTGTATATTCACAAATATATTTATGAAAGGAAAGCGTAATTCGTGTTAGAAGCGCGGATGCTGCAGACCTGCAGTTAATACCCTTTTATGTTTGTTGAGTTGAGTATTTGCTGCTTGCCGGATATATATTACCCTAGATAAATATAAGTCTAGTTTGTGAGGAAATGGCGAGTGAAGAGCGTGAGTAGATTTTACGAGGCTGGGCAGGTGAATGTATGTGTGTGTGTCGAGGGTGATATCTCTTCTCCTGCATCATTGTTCAGGCGGGATAGAGGGGACTAGATGATGGCAAAGTGCCGTTTCGTGTGGCAGGAACCATTGGGCGAAGTAAGCTCCATGTACTCTCTGGTGCTGGCCGTAAATAGGGGGCACAGGCAAATTGCTCACTCAATCGCCGGGGCAAGAGTGTGATAACGAAACGTAATCAACGAAGACCAGGTTTATTGGTCAGGCAGGTAGATGTACACGTGCTTTCACTCCCGTAATAAACAATGGGAATGAGTCGTCGCTGTGCAACTCATACCAATACGAGTAGCTCCTAGTGGGTGATGCGAGGGCAAGGGGTGTCGGTTTTGGATGTTTCAGTAGATTTCAGTTGTTGGTTGACGATTAAAATGGGACGTGTTCATCATGGCAGGAGCAGCTCTAGATGTGTCTGCGATGACGTGTCAGCTGCAATCGTCTCCGAATGCCCGTGACGTTCCCATTACGGTGGCGAAACGACTTCGGGGGGCCAAGCGCGTCTCAAAGTTCGCTTGCTAGGATGTACATTCAGCAAAAAGTGATGATGAAGGCAGTGCCGTGCTGCACTCATCTGTCATCCATACTTTGCGTCTAGAAGAGACGGCCTCGGAAACTTTCTTAATTAAAATCAGTAATGATTTCTCTTTTCGCGTTTTGTTTATATTTCTTTTACGAAGGAACTCTGGTAACAAAAAAGTATAGGCATATTACGTTGTGAAGAAAGAACGGGAAGAAACTAATGACCGATCCCCGTATTTTATATATGATGGATATAATACAAACAGATAGCCAACTAGGACAGGCAACTTTTTCCTACTGGAATTAATGCGACCCGTCGTCTCCTAACACTCTGCACGTCACGTTATCACTATAACTTTGCTACGAATACTTAAAGCTGCCGGTCCCCTTGCGTCATAAACAAAAGTCTTATCCAAGCACTTTTCTGCGTTCCCTGTTTTTATTTTCATTTCTATCTTCTTTTTTTTGCTCTGCCCTCTCTTACTTCTTCCAGGTTTGATCCGGGTATTTCCTCTTTGAACTTTATAGGGTATTTTTTTTTTTTGTAAAAATTGCTAATTTCTAGATCGATTTTTCTCAGAATAGGTTGGGCTTCACGAACGACGCTGGTGGGTTATGTTGTAGGTTGTAAGTGGGAAAGGTTTAGCCTCTTGGAAACATTGTTATCTGCTCTCTCTGGCTGCTCGAATTAGCAAAGTTAGCTGGGGAGAGGAGGAGGCTAAGCGTGCGGGTGGGCGGATTGACTTCGGCAAATTGGACAACTTTGATGCCCCATCGGCACTCCAACCTCCCTTATCCTTCCGATAAGACAGCTCAAACAAATTTTATTACTTCGCCAGCTAAGGCTCCTTCTTCGTCCAATTCTTTTACTTGTAATTGGTTGAAATTACTAAACAATAATATTGTTTGGTTGGAATACACAGTAATCCTTAAAGACGAACAAACAAAGCACGAAGCGTAGCAAAATGTGCCTTTCCTCCGTTATCTAATTTTCCTTCATTGTCCTTCCGGGTCAGTGGGCTGCGAACGCACGGAAATTGAATAGTTGTTGCTTTATGAGCTACTCGCGCAATTTCTTCTCATATTTTTCTTCCCTTTGCCTCGCTCTTATTTTAAACTTCAATATTTTCCCTTGGCATTTATTCTTCCGGTCAGAATTCCAATTCATGCAGTTATTCGAAATGATGAAATATGTATTTGAAAGTTTGTTATTACTATTGCATCGATTTTGACTATAGTTCCATGCATGTATGCCTTTTATTACTTGACCTATATATAAAAAAAACAGGAAATCATAGAGTATCTTCAATAATATCCTGTAATTTTACTCAATTTAGTTATGAATTATCGTCACTGCTTCTATGAAAATATATATAAATCAATAAATATTTTTGATTACTGTTTTTTAAACACAGAGTTCAAGGTATAAATTTTGTATATTGTATTATTTCATGTTAGATGCACTTCCAGTATTTTTCTTTACTAAAGATGTTAAGACTGTCTGCAACTAAGTTAAGATGTGGTAATTGTAAAGTTTGTAGTAAATATCCTAGTTAGCGCATAGAAACTTTCGGAGTTGGTGCGTCCGTCCAGCCAGCAATGTTCTGTGATTTCCACAAGTAAACATTACAAAATATTTTCAATCATTTGAAATTAACCCTTGGTTTTGAATAATTTTGTGAGTTATATTTTATTACCGCATAAAAGTTTCGGTTATAACCCTGGGCTATTCCAAAGGGAAGGCAAGGAAATTAAATTCCGCATGGATTCGTGCGCTCACTACACCAACAACAACAACACAATAATTCCGGAATTATTGGTTTCTCATCTGAAATGCGTAAAGGTAAGGAGTTTCCTGCGGGGGTGAAATTCAACGAAGCAAATGCGCTAATTAATTTACGGTGAAATAATTTATAAATTTATCTGCTGCTTGACATAACTGAAGCTCTTCTAAGCGCTTCATGTTTGTTTGTTTTATTGGCATGAATAAATTAGTGTTTTACATTATAAATATTTTTTTTTAAATGTTCATGGTTTGTAAAAATGTTTTTTTTCTGTTCTATTTTCCGTTCAACTTTTGATGTATTATGTACAATATTTTTATATTTTATGAATCTTCGTACATGTCTATTCGTATTCTGAATAATATTTGTTCATCGATATTTTTCTACACCACTGTTACATGTATCTATAGAATATAGATCAAACAGTATTGTCTTGATATAGTTGAGGGCCTTTAGATAAAGGCTCAGGGACTCTGGGGGAGTGAGAGGGTGAGTAGAAAAAAGACAACATTGAGTGCAGCGTTCATCTTTGAGGTGCAATCAAGGGTCCTCTGAGCTTTGTGAGACCGTTCTAGTTAGGCCCTTTTTATATTTGAACAGTGTTCTTCTCTTTCCCGCTCCTTATATGGACACAGCTTGCGTTTCACACTACTAGACTATCACGTATTGACCCATTATGCTCTCACCGGGGCCTTTGTTATTATTTCATTATCGTCGGGCGAAGCAAAAATTATTGAATAGACGTAGAGGAAAGCAATAAAAAAGTATATAAAACGGGAACGAATAATACCTATAAGGGCATGAGCAGGGTTTGGCCGTTGGTGCGGGTAAATAAATAAATTAATTGGATTTTCTTTGGCAATTTTTCACTAGTTCCGTAGTGGACATTGGGACGACGGGTCCTGCTGACATGTTGGTTTGTAATTGAATGTATCGTAGCTGCAGTGCGGTTTTTGCACGCTGAATGGAAAGAGGAAACGTTGGAGAAAACACTAGGGGTTTTGTATTGTTTGTTTGTGGATGTGTGGGTGTGTGCTGTATACACTTTTGGACGGATAAAATAAATGGCGTTGATATGGAAACATTTTTCAATCGGAAGTGAGTTAGTTGCGGGACGTCGGAGGCGGCATCGGTGACGACGCCGTCGAGGGGTTGCCGCCCTAAATCACCGCCTCCATATACAGACATCATCGTAATTCATCACCACTTACTCGCACATTGTTGTGCGAACACACTTATCCGATTACTAACACGAGGGAGAAAATAATACAACTGCCGCTCGTCAACCTTTTAAATTAATGCAAGGGCACTTAGAAAATTTCCAAAATTAAGATATACCATGAAGAAAAAACATCTGCGCCACGCATTTAACAAATATGTTTCATGTCTGCATCCCATAGAAAAAGTTTCAAACTAGTTTGAAAGATTAATGCTTTTAAATATATCGCTAGATAATTTATATACAAAATATGATGAAGATATTTTACGTTTGCAGTAAAATAAACAGAAACTCCAATGGTATTGACAAACTACGTACGTACGTACGTATTATGCCCACAATCCTCAACATTTCGATAGAATCAGTTGTGGGCAGAGGGTTGTAGATACTACTAGTAATTACAGTGTACACAATGGAAATCTTCAAATGCATTTAATATTGACATTGTGTACCATTTAACGACTCCAAGTTTAGATATGATTCAATAGGAACTAGGAAATGGTCATATGTAGTTGATTAAATACTGCATAAACCACTATCAAAATATTATATTGAAAACCTATTAAAATTTAATAAGAATATATTTAATTCAAAAGCCTCAAATTTATGTTTACCATATTAATATTGCATATATCCATAAAAACCGAAATTATTCTTTTTCATATACTTTTCTTTCAATGAATTATTATATAATCAACGTTACCTATGTCTTGAATTCTATAAACTCATTTCACATCTCCTCATATTTATTA